GGAGGGTAAAGGGGTGGGGAAGGCAATGGCAAAGTGGAATTTCAACTAGAGGGGGGATCCAAGGGGATGAGTTTCAAGGGAACAGGGGCTAGAAGGGAGGGGTAGGGAAAGGGCAGAAAGAGTCTTGCAAGTGGAAAAAAAGAAAAAAAGGAAATGGCTGCCTCACGGGAGAGTATTTATTATAAAGCGACTAGTGTCAGATCACCCAATAAGCAAGGTAAGCATGAGTTTACTTGTCATTACTTACTAATCTGTACTGAACAATCTCGTATTTTTTCATCACATCAGCTTCTGCTTCTAGTCTTGGTTGGTATCTCTCTCCCTACCTCACAGAACCTTCTACAGAATCAAAGCCTCTTTTCAAATTTATAATCGCTGATGAGCAGAGTATACAGTAAAGCAAGGTAAACCCATGCTTATGGAGTAGCGGTGTGGTATTGTAGGATAAGAACTCCAGCACAAGGTCGACGGTTCAAATTCACCAGCCGCTCCTCGGAAACCCTATTCAGGATCGCCATGAGTCGGAAAACGACTCGACGGTACTTAACAACAACAATAACAAACCTGTGCTTACCTTGCTTATAGGATAATCCGACCCAGAAAGGGACAAACCTAGCCAAGAATCTCCTGGGGCACCAACTACAAAGGGTTGAGGAGCCTAAGGGGTTAACGTGAGAGTCTTTCATTCCTTAGAATTCTAAGAAGGCGGAGCTTCCCAAGGGCGCAACTTAAGGGGCGTGGCCTCAATGTGATAGACATCTACAGAGGCGGGACTTTCCAGGGCACTGGGCTCCGGCTGGCCCAATATTCGAAGGGGGCGGGGTCTCATCGGGAAAGTGGATTCCAAGGGAGGTGGGGATGATCCGGGAAGACGTCATCAAGGGACAGGGCTTTGTCTGGTTCTCGCTTCCCGGGGGCGGGGCCTCCCTGGAATATAGCTTTCCCAAAGGCGGGGCCTGGCCAGACAGGGACCTCCTGGGGGCGGGGCCTTCGTGGGCTAGGCTTCCTGGGGCGGGGCTCACCTGAGGCACAGAGGCGATGCATCCGCAGGTAGCTGATAGTGAGGCGCATGATGGAGGCCTTGTCTAGATGAGCGCTGACCCCGCGCGCAAAGGGCAGTGTGTGCGCCAGCTGATACAGAACCTCTGTCTCCTGGCTGCGCCGGCTGCGGGCTGCGTCTCGGGACTTCTCCTTGCGCAGCTCGGTGCTCGACCTGCGGGCAAAGGCAGCGTTCAGGCGGAAGGGGGGCCTTGGATCACAGAGGCCTAGCTGGGTGACCAGGGAAAATTCCCGGTACTCAATAGACCTGGGGGTGTTCTGCTCTGGATCACATTCTACCCCAGGTCTTTACCTGCCTGTGCGCCACCCCATGTTGCCTTCTCCAGAGCCTCGCTCCTCTGAGGCATGCCCAGGGTCGTTCTGACCCCTCCCTGACTTATCTGCTGTTTCCCAGGATAGGGACGTGTGGGGGACTGAGAGGCCGCCTGCTGGGAGGGGGCTGGTCTAGCTGGCATCGGGCCAGGAAGGAAGAGAGCTCAAGAACAAGCCAGCAGCTTCCCAGGTCCTCCCCACCCCCTACAGTCTCCTGAGTCCCCTCCCTGCCCTTTCTCCTCTCAGCTGAGCTGAGTCTTCAGAATCTTGGTGAAAAGATCAAAGTCCAACAGGGTCCCTAAGAGGGGCAGGACCTTGCCAGGGTGACACAGCAAATCAACACCAAGCTTATGTCTAGCCAATAGCTACTTAACTCCTTTAATCCATAGACATGAATTCCTCAGGGTACGTGTGTGTGGATTGAAAGTGGAAGAATGAGTTTCATTTTGTAAGAAATATCTGCCACTTGGGGCAGTACAAAGGGTTAACACACTCAGCTGCTAATCTAAAGGTTAGCACTTCCAGTCCACCCAGAGATGCCTTTAAAAAAAAAGCTTGGTGATCTACTTCCGGGAACCCAAAAACCAAAAATTCTGTGGAGGAGGAAAAAACCATGGAGCAAAGACAGTTCTATTCTGACACGTGTGGCGGTGGTGGCGCTGGTGGTGTGCCGTGGAGTCGGTTCCGACTCATAGCGACCCTGCTGCGTAGGGTTCCGAGGCTCTAAATCTTTACGGGAGCCGAAAGTCTCATGTTTCTCCCTCGGAACGGCTGGAGGTTTCAAACTGCTGACCTTGAGGTTAACAGCGTGACCACTACACTACCACAGGTCCTCTATTCTGACACACATGTTGTTAAGGGCCGTAGAGCCGGTTCAGACCCATAGCGACCCTATACAGATAGGGTTTCGGAGGAGCTGCTGGTGAGCTTGAACTGCTGACCTTGCAGTTCAAACAACTTTGCAGTCTGGCGCATTAACCCACACCGTCACACCAGGACTCCTGGCACACATGAGTTCCCCATAAATCAGAATCTACTTGAAGGCAACTGGTGGTGGTGTTCAGTTTATACTGTTTCGTTTATTCCCAGGGCAAGAATCTAATTTACCCTAACACATTGAATGCTCAAAGCAGCCCAGACAGAAGGTGATAACATTATCAAACAGAAGAGGAAACCGAGGCACAGAAAAGTGCAAAGTTTATCCAGGAGTCATGAAGCCAGACTTTCAACATTGGTCTTCCTGGGCTTTATTTTTTTATTATTATTTTTAATTGGGTGGGGAGCATCATATTTTTTATTTTGAAGGAATAAAATGTTACATATACAGATGAAGGTCTTACTTGCCCCAGATCTCATTTTCTTCTACCCTCATCAGAGGTAACCACCATTATCTTAAATTTAGTGTTTACCATTCCTTTACAAGTGTTGAAAGGACTGCTAAATACATATTTATCCACAGCACAATGGATTACGCCTCAGGCTGTTAACCCAAGGTCAGCAATTTGGATCTACCAACTACACCGTGGGAGAAGGATGATGACTTCTACTCCTGTAAAAGATTTGTTGTTGTTAAGTGCCGTTGAGTCGATTCTGACCCATAGTGACCCTGTATAGGGATTCCAAGGAGCAGCTGGTGAACTTGAACTGCTGACCTTGCAGTTCAAATGGCTTTGCAGTCTGGAGCATTAACCTACAGTGTCACACCAGGATTCCCTGTAAAGATTTACAGCCTGGGAAACCCCATACATAGGAGCTATGAGTCGGAACCGACTTCATGGTACATAACCACCACCACCTGCAATTTTAAAGGACTTTTCTCTCTGTCTCTATGGCCCTGGGTCCATCTCCAGGTCTTACTGTTTCGGCCCATCTTAAAATTTACATGCTGGATCTGTCTGAATACAAAGTCAATATACTTTAGTTTTGGAATAAAGAAATGATAGTCTATAGTACATACACTCATTGTCACTGAGTCAGTTTTGATTCATAGCGACCCTATGTGTTACAGTGTCTAACTGTTTTATGGCGTTTTCTTGGCTATAACCGTTACAGAAGCAGATTGCCAGGCATTTCTTCCATGGTGCACCAGATAGATTCAAACCACCAAATTTTAGGAATTGTTGTTATTGTCATTGAGTCGGTTCTGACTCATAGTGGCCATGAATGGGATTTCCAAGGAATAGCTGGTGAATTTGAAACACCAACATTGTGGTTCAAATTGCCCTTGCCCTTGCAGTCCTATGCTTATCCTACAGTGGCACATCAGGACTCCATTAGGAGTTGTCGTTGTTGTTGTGAAGTGCCATCAAGTCAGTTCCAACCCACAGAGATCCTGTATAGGATTTCTGAGGAGCAGCTGGTGAGCTTGAACTGCCAACCTTGCAGTTCAAATGGCTTTGCAGTCTGGTGCATTAACCCACAGCAACACACTAGGACTTCCCATTAGGAGTTGTTGTTGTTGTTAGATGCCATCGAGTCAGTACCAACTCATAGCAACCTTATGCACAGCAGAACAAAACACTGCCTAATCCTGGGCCAACCTCACAATCGTTTCCACACTTGAGCCCATTGATGCTGCCAATCCACTTCACTGGGGGTCTTCCTCTTTTTCTCTGACCCTCCAACCTACCAAAGATGATATCCTTCTCCAGCGACTGTTCCCTCCTGACGATATGTCCCAAGTATGAGAGATGAAGTTTGACCATCCTGGCCTCCAAGGAGAATTCTGGCTGCACTTTTTCCAACACAGATCTGTTGGTTCTTTTGGCAGCCCATGGCACTTTCAATATTCTCCTCCAACACCATAACTCAAAAGCATCAATTCTTCTACGATCTTCCTTATTCACTGCCCAACTTTCACATGCATATGAGGTGATTGAAAATACCATGGCTTGGGTCAAGCGCGCCTTAGTCTTCAAGTTGACATTTTTGCTCTTCAACACTTTACAAAGTTCCTGTCAGCAGATCTGCCTAATGCAATACATTGTTTGATTTCTTGACTGCTGCTTCCATGAGTGTTGATAGTTGATCCAAGAAGAATGAAGTCC